GTCAAAACATTTTTCCTCTGAGAATTTAAAATGGTCACTTTGGTCCTGTGCTCCTCTGACTTCAATATGGAGCTTCTGACTAGTCTACTGCTATTCTCCCAGCAAGTACGTAAAGATGAAGTGTGCAGATACCAGGATTTTACAGATGTCTGGCTAATTCTCACGAGTGTGTGTTAACATGTATCTAAGAAAGGTTTGATGATGTTATGTAATCATGTCATGTCAGCCATTTAACCTGAACATACAATGGCTCTAGGCTTAGTCATTAAAGCCAATTGCTCTGAGCCATCACTTTGAAGCTGTACATCAGTCTCACTAATTCAATTAGATGTTATAATATATTACTAATCTCTAAGGCAAAGCTGATTATTACTTAAATTTTTTTCAGATTTGTTTAAAAAGTGCCATTGCTGAATGTTGACTATATATATTTCTAGTGTTGGAAGTAGCAGGACTGCAGCACATCAGTATAATTCAAATATTTAAAGCCTTTACATTTTATCTCATTGGTTTTGGAATATTTCAGTATGTGCTGTTTGGAAAGTTTTGAAGCAGAAGTTGCTAACTCGACTCAACAAAAAACACTGAGCAGTACAAGGTTTAGCCAACAGTATCAAAATCTACAAACCTTGTTTCCACAACAAAATAATGAGTCCATAGACCTAAAGACCTAAAGACCCCCAACACAGAGCTACCACAACCTGCAATGTTAAATGTCAAAATGCGTATCCTCTTCCTCTTAACAGCAATAACTCAAACACCTAAATGCTTACACACATGACCAAACAGCAGAACTAAAAACTCAACTGAGAGAAGGGCGAGACACTAAAGCTTAAGCTAGACTTAAGCTACAAAAACATTCTAAATCTGTATGTTTTAAAGCCAGCATTTTTAAACAGATATACTGCAGAAGCTACATATTTAAAAAGCCCCCAACTAGTCGTGCCTGAGCAGCCTGAGCTGAGATTATTTTGTTACATTTTCAAAGTAAACAAGAACTCTTTTTAGAGAATATTGTGTAAAACTGTGAAAATGAAGGCAGTGTCAATTTGATATGTGAAGTGCAGATAACACTTTGAATCCTCACCTCAGTCCAGTCCAGTCCTGAGTCTGGACTTGGCGAGGAATAATCATGTCATATTACAATTACAGAGACGCTGGTAAAGAGGCATCATGTGACCGTTGTTGTTTAGCTGCATGTTTGGTTCGATAAGGCCTTACTGCTAAATGTGTGTGGGTGTGTGTTGTGTGCTAGTTGCATTGCATCCACGTGGTGAAGGTTCAGAATCCCTCTAACTGCTTTTCTTCTGGTCAGTGGTGCTTCCTCCTCTTGACTTGTTCAACGCCACAGTGGCCTGAAGAGAGAAAAAAACGGAAAAGGATTTTGAAACCACAGCGTCTTTTTTGGCTCCAATCATCATGTAAGAAAAAGCTTAATCAAACCAAACCACTTCTGCTTTTGTTAGTAACGTTCTTAGTACAGTTTAGTTCCCCTCTCTGTTAGAACTCTGTTAGACAGACTCATGGTACGGTGGAGATTAAGATAAGGCTGCCATTGGCTTAACGTCTGAGGTGACATTTCTTTTCCCATCTACCCGTAGGTGTTTCTACATTTACTTTTAATATGGAACACAACTACTCAACAACAGATCAATTAAAAGTGATTGTTCTAACCTTGCTTTGTTTCCAGTGATTATACAACTAATTTTTCCATGACTCATGTTCTTTTGTACATGTACATCAACATATATCATCGTGTGTGCTGTGAAATAAAAACAACTTCCTCTGCTGACGACTGCTACCATTTTCTTAACTTGTGGTTGAAAATAATTAAATAAAACTAAAACAAGACAACAGTACCTCTACACATCCAAGAGTCTTATGACAGACTTAACGTGACACTGACTTTAATTAATGCAGAACATTTCTGGTAAATGTTAATGTATTTGTATGGATACAACTTACTGGATAAAAGGAAATTATACCTATCTATGCTCATATCACATAAAATAAGTTTTACTTCATGCATTCAACTAGTTAATTCTGAGTATCAGCTTAAATTAGTCTTGCTGATGTCTTCCTCCTCACTTACTCTGTATGTTTTAAAGCCAGCATTTTTAAACAGATATACTGCAGAAGCTACATATTTAAAAAGCCCCCAACTAGTCGTGCCTGAGCAGCCTGAGCTGAGATTATTTTGTTACATTTTCAAAGTAAACAAGAACTCTTTTTAGAGAATATTGTGTAAAACTGTGAAAATGAAGGCAGTGTCAATTTGATATGTGAAGTGCAGATAACACTTTGAATCCTCACCTCAGTCCAGTCCAGTCCTGAGTCTGGACTTGGCGAGGAATAATCATGTCATATTACAATTACAGAGACGCTGGTAAAGAGGCATCATGTGACCGTTGTTGTTTAGCTGCATGTTTGGTTCGATAAGGCCTTACTGCTAAATGTGTGTGGGTGTGTGTTGTGTGCTAGTTGCATTGCATCCACGTGGTGAAGGTTCAGAATCCCTCTAACTGCTTTTCTTCTGGTCAGTGGTGCTTCCTCCTCTTGACTTGTTCAACGCCACAGTGGCCTGAAGAGAGAAAAAAACGGAAAAGGATTTTGAAACCACAGCGTCTTTTTTGGCTCCAATCATCATGTAAGAAAAAGCTTAATCAAACCAAACCACTTCTGCTTTTGTTAGTAACGTTCTTAGTACAGTTTAGTTCCCCTCTCTGTTAGAACTCTGTTAGACAGACTCATGGTACGGTGGAGATTAAGATAAGGCTGCCATTGGCTTAACGTCTGAGGTGACATTTCTTTTCCCATCTACCCGTAGGTGTTTCTACATTTACTTTTAATATGGAACACAACTACTCAACAACAGATCAATTAAAAGTGATTGTTCTAACCTTGCTTTGTTTCCAGTGATTATACAACTAATTTTTCCATGACTCATGTTCTTTTGTACATGTACATCAACATATATCATCGTGTGTGCTGTGAAATAAAAACAACTTCCTCTGCTGACGACTGCTACCATTTTCTTAACTTGTGGTTGAAAATAATTAAATAAAACTAAAACAAGACAACAGTACCTCTACACATCCAAGAGTCTTATGACAGACTTAACGTGACACTGACTTTAATTAATGCAGAACATTTCTGGTAAATGTTAATGTATTTGTATGGATACAACTTACTGGATAAAAGGAAATTATACCTATCTATGCTCATATCACATAAAATAAGTTTTACTTCATGCATTCAACTAGTTAATTCTGAGTATCAGCTTAAATTAGTCTTGCTGATGTCTTCCTCCTCACTTACAGCTCCCTCTGGTGGCTTTGATGGGTGCATGCACAGAAACGCACTTGACTGAACTGATATAAACTGAAAACTGAGCCATTCGGGTAATCTATATATTCTATCACAAACCAGCCTGCAGGCCTTTTACATTCTCACCTGCTCCAGGACTACACCTGCAGCTTGGTCAATGGCGCCCCCTACAGTCTGGTACCGGCCAGAGTACCGGATGAAGGCCCAGGTCAGCATGGCTATCATGACCACACCCAACGCACAGTCACACACCAGAGCGAAGGTAGACAGGCCAACAAAGAATAATATTCCTGACAGGATGTAGAGGATACACAGCAGGACAAAGAGAACTGCTGGTGTCCGGAAAGCACTGAAGAGATTTTTGGACTATTAAAACAAAGAGAGACAGTTGATCAGAACAAAAACTGAAAATGAAGTTACAAAATGCAAACATTTCTTTGTTTTCTGTGTTCTATGATAAATAAAAATCGAAGTAAATACACAGTTTAATAGGCCAATACTTTTAGAAACGACTTTCACCTCATTGTGTTTGCTGAACGACTGCCACATTTCCTCCAGCTCCTCCTGCAACTGCTCCTGGTAACGATCACAGAACTCCTGTCCCCCCATCTTCTTAGTGGACTTGAATGCATGAAGAGCCTCATGGAAGTTGAAACTGTGCTTTTCCTCCAGTGCGTCAGGAGCCATGTATGGTAGGTCTCCTCCACACACCTGAGTGTGACAAAGTTCAATCGTGATGACAGACACATTTGATAAAACATGTTTTCACACAGGTAAAAAAAAACAACCTTACATCAGGTATATATGTTTTTAGTTCTTATTTCTCTTTCATGCCGTGGGTTAAATGACACAGCAGCGCAAAAGGGGGGGGGGTCTTCTGTCAGTGGTTCAATCCAATGCAGTTTGCTGCACTTTTCCAAGGGAAAATAACAAAAGAGTGCCTGAACACAAATCTTTGAAGACAAAGCAAACTCACTTTCTCCATGCTCTTGTAATACTGGTCTTTGGCTCCTGCTACAGCTGCTAGGTTGTTGGCCTCTGCTGTAGCCTGGAGAAAAGAAATAAAGAATAAAACATTTCACAAAAAACAACTTTATTTTTCACAATTCAGCACATACCATGAGCATGGTCTTTGGCTGTGGAAGGTCTTCTCCCTGATAAATCTTGATGTAGGCCTGTAAACATCAATGTTTCATCAGAGTACAGTCTAATAAACTGCAGACAACTATGTTTACAGTACGTAGCTATAGTTCTGTAGCAATTTGAAGATACTCTCACTGTGCAGGCGTGAGATGATTTTACCTTGAAGAACTCCAGAAGGCCCATACAGGTGACTTTGTTTCCGTTTATTTCTTTCTCAGCCAGACGTTCCGCACGAAGCAGTTTGGGAATCAGACTCTTCAGCTGCTCTTTGAATTCTGGTGCCACATCTGTCAACCAAATGCAGAAGCACTCAGTTATGGTACAAATGTTATGTTACAAAAACATCATACATGTAACGAAAGTCCAGGATTTTACCACAAAGCTGTCCCTCAAACTGTGGGCTGGTAGCAACCTTTAACCCAGGGTGAGGTAACAGGAAGCAGGAGATGCTGGTGAAACATGAATGAATATGCTCCCTGACTGTTTGCAGCTCCTCGTGTTGGGCTTCCTTAACCTTTGGAGATTTTATGTGTGAGGTGAATAATAATTAACATCTCATAAAACACAGGTTTTGATAAAAAACATCTTTAGTTTGAAGTAAGAAAAAAGGCAACACTAGTACCTGTAACCGTTTGTCCAAGAACTCATTTCCTCCTTTAAACCCGTAGGTGTATTCATAGGGAAAGCTCCAATCCCTGATGAGAAACATCAAAGACTGTAGAAGGAAAGGAAACAAAGAAAGATATTGTTTATCAAAGAGAAAAAAATCAGACTCCCATTAATCGCTGTTTTTTCTCCTACCTGAAATGGCTTCTGGAAGATTTCATCCATGGCAAGACGACCATACTCTGTGAACAACTGTAAAGTCAAGGTTATATTTCATGATGGACTCTCTTGATATTTGAGATTAAAACATTGTAAGTTTTTTTAACCAAACTTCAAAGCAGCTGTGTATTATCAAAATAGCCATGCATTTGGAAACATGTCTGTTGTGAGTAAACAGACCTGCAGCTGCTGCAAATCGTCCTCCTGAATGTTCTGTGACAGATTGTAGATCTGCAAAATAAAAAAGAAAACCATGTAGAAAAAAAGAAGTAAAAGACTGTTATCAGGTTTTATCAAGGATAATCAGAGCAGATGTGTCACCTGAATTGAGCTGGTCATTGTGCTGAGAGCAAAGATGGTAGCACAGTCCTTCACTGTGGACTCATTGTCAAATGCTCCCTGAGTGTCCATCAACATCACAGCTACCTGCAACAGAGGAAATTTAAAAAAAAAATTGAATTGAAAAAATATATATATTTTAAGTAAAGGAATAACTTCTATGGGAATTGTTTAAAAGCAACAAACAAACTTGTTTCCATTTCCAAGACTTACTATGGTTTAAAATGATTTGTTACATGAATAAACATCAATATGGTAAAAACAGAAGAAAGCTTTCCATCAAATAAAGTGATAGTGTAAAAAAAAGTCCATACCTCAGTTCCATCACTCTTTGGAACAATAAAGAGCTCACTCCACACCTGGATGCCTGTTGTTTCTGGTTCTGAACCACCCCGCCATGAAAATCCAGTCAGTGGCTCATCATCACCACCCAACCAGCTGTCATCCCCCTGAAAAACAAATATGTCATTTCAGTCCTGCCTTTTACTACAATGACAAGGTCAAAATATTTTTTGGGTGTGCTTTAAGTAACATACTATAGTCATAGTTTTAGTATAGTATAATATTTCACTTTTAATCAATGGCTGACATAAAAAAATAAAAAATGGCCGATAATTATCGCTTCTGCACCCACTAATAAAGACACTTAAAAACGAAAGCATAGAGTACTGAGTTACAGTAATAAATAATATAATAATGAAAAGATATTATTAAATCATCTGCAATTTCTGACTGGTCACCTTTTTTCACAGCATCTGCCAAACATGACATAATAGCATCTCTAACTGATTAAACATCAGTTTCAGGTCAGTGAGCCAGTCCTCAGTCAGTCAGTGTGAGAAGAGAGATCTTGTTACAACATCTCTCACCTTTCTGTACATGAAGCGGAGCATGAAGTCCAGCAGAAACCTCTTCCCCTTTCTGAAGCCCCCTGCCACTGACAGCACCACCACATGTTTGTCACGGACCTCCGGAGCCAACAGAATCTCAGCCAAAGCCTCTGTATCCAACTCAAAGGAGTGGGTCTCCTTACACACTCTGACGATCTGAACTGGACCGGGTTCTCTCATCTTTTAGGTTATAGGCTCTGTGGAAAACCAAAAATGTCGTGTCAAACTCTTATCTCAATCATCAGTTAAAG